CTATTGTACATGTTTTTGTGTTGTGGGGGAAACCGGAGTACCCAGAGAAAACCCACGCAAGCACGAGGAGAACATGCAAACTCCGCACAGAAAGACCCCAGGTCCGAACCGGGGATCGAACCCAGGACCTTCTTGCTGTGAGGCATCGGTGCTAACCACTGAGCCGTCGTGCCGCCGTGAATAAGCTGGTTCCATAAGTGACTAGAATCTCCAGGGTTCCCCACATGTCTGGACTCTGATAAATGTAACAGATAAATCAAGTTTCACAAAAGCCTGTGAGAAAATCTGTTCCTGTCTGATGAATCTGAAGTTGAACTTTTTAACCACAATTTTAAAAGTTGTATTTAGTGCAAGAGGAGGGAGACTTTTTATATTTTCTTTGCATAAAAAAATCTGTCAGACGAGATGAAACTTTAACATGATCCAGAGCTGGAAGCTGCTCTGGGTGAATGAGGACTTTGATCTTTCAGGTGGTGATTGTTTTGTGAACTAAACATGTTTTAACTGTCAGGCTGCAGCTTGTGATAATAAACTGTTTATTTTTCAGATACTGGTTCTATAAGCTTGTTGTGTTGGTGGCAATTACAGCTTGTGTCTTCTACATCCCAGATGATCCGTTCACCTACAGTAAGAGCTGCAGGTTCTAAACTCATGGCTCCACAGGGTCTGACAGAAGAATGACTGAAGGATGTTTGTGGCTGTTTGTCCTTGCAGCGTGGTTTGTCCTTGGCTCCTGTGGCGCTTTCTTTTTTATTCTGATCCAGCTGGTGCTTCTGGTGGACTTTGCCCACTCCTGGAACGAGTCGTGGGTTGGAAACATGGAAAAGGAAAACTCCAGGGGCTGGTATGCAGGTCTGTGGCTCAGGAAGTTTAATTAAAAAGGCTTGTAGTAAAGAATCCAAAATGGCCTCATGTATTAAAGATGCTCTTGTGTTTTGTAGCTCTGCTGGTTGTTATGACTCTCAACTACATCATGTCACTGACTGCTGTCATGCTCTGCTTCATCTTCTACACCAAACCTGATGGGTGCTTCATCAACAAGTTCTTCATTGGCTTCAACATGCTTCTGTGCGTTGTAGCATCAGCTGTTTCCGTTCTCCGGAAAGTTCAGGTACGTTTCAGCCTCAAACACTGAGACACAGTCTCAGCTATATCCATTTACCTTTATTTAACCAGGCAGAGTCCCTCTGAGGTCTGTGTCTGAAGGCAACATGCATGTTTTTGCTCTGTGGAGGGGAAACCAGAGAAAACCCATGCTAACATGAGAAGAACATGTAAACTCCACACAGAAAGACCCCAGATCTGAAGCGGGGGTAGAATCCCAGCCTTATTCTCACCAATAAATCACGGTATTGCCCAAAAACATGGCTGCAAAACATGTCAAAAAAGAAATAGAAATACATGCATTCACTCAACATTGTTCTAGTTTTGTTACGGTTAATTTTACCTGCAAGTTTTAATTTAATCTCCAGGCCAGAGAAGATAAACAGATCCTTGAGCAAGTTCTTTAGATGGCAGCCCTCTGCCAAATAACTATAAATAAACTGCACCAACTCTACAAACTGTACAGTAACATAAATTTAAGAAGTTTTGACGCAATGTCTAAGAAATCTAGCTTTTTGTTCTGACTAGTCATAAATTCTAAATAAAGATATCGAATTTGACACCATTATTTAAATGTATTCCTAGATTTTACATTTAAAGATTTGACTAGAGCAGATTAAATTGCAGATTACTTGAAATCAAATGACTAGGTAGAACTAACTTAGAGATATTAGTACTGTTTTTGACGAGACAAAATTCCTTTTAAGACATCTCCAAATGAATTATAGATAGCTTGATCTATGTAGTATTTTAGCCTTACCTTAATTTGCTGTTCAGTGGTCTGCAGTGTCAGCTCAGTCCAGCTCAAATTACTGTGTTTCTAACATGGTTTTTAGCTGCAGCTCAACATGAATTAAGAAACAGATCATTTAATTTCTGTCATTACAGCCTCACTAAATTCTGTTGGCCAATGTTTGGACAGAGGGGCTTATGCACCTTTTAATTCAGACATCTAAAACTGTAAAATTGACTTGTCATAATTACGTTTGAGAAATATCAAATTGTTCTAGACAGAGACGATTTGATGTTTAAATGGCCTGCCATACACTTTCAGCTATAGTAGAGTAATCGTTTGTAATATATATAGCGATTATTCACAGTAATAAAGGTCTTGACTGAAGAATGACTCATCTTGTGAAATTTCTGACTAAATCTAATAAAGGCTGGTCATAGAATGCAACAGTTGTTCAAAACACAACATTTAGTCAAGGTGTTTAACACTGACATATTCAACCTTTAAATCTGACACAGGTCTATAAAGTAGTCATGTAGTTTCTTTTTATTATTTTTTTGGATGGCCTCCCTTCTCCCCTTATAGCCATCCTCTCCACACCATTATGGTTTTTTTTGTGAAGAGAAAATAGAGAGAGAGAAAAACAGAGAGAAGTAATTAGAAAGATAGAAAGACTGAAATAGCGATTAGGAGTATATTAAATATACACCAACAAAACACAGGACCACACACCCAACATCTGTCCGCTCACCTGAAAAATAAATGGATAAAAACATAGAAGGCATATATAAGAATACACACATACCCCTACATATATAAAGAAATGCATACATACATGCCTACATTCATAAATATTGTCTGTATATACACACAGACATTTACAGTATACACACTCAGTGACCAGCCAGAACCCCCGGATCAGAACACCTGTTTGTGAGCAGTTGTGAACATGCGTGTACATACAAGATTTCTCTAATGGAATATTTAATGGTGACTGTGGAGGACCGAGACCCAACCCCCAAGACACGAGGCAGACATAGGGAAGACCAGAGCCCAAGGGCCTGAGAGGAATCCCGGGCGCAGAGCCCCAAGGGGCACCCGCATGGGAAGATCCGCCCACCCACCCCCCAGATCAGACC